CCATTTTTACATTTCCAAGGCAATTTATAGTTTTTATTTTAGACTTTTTATTTAGATTTATTTAAAACATGTTGTTGAAGTTTGCTCGGAGAAAGTTGTTGTAGCGTCTATAAATAAAAATTATATTCTGATAAATATTTATTTCAAATATATTCATCATTTTCATACCTCTCATTAGAGGTTTTCAAGTTCTCGTTTATTTTCAAAATATGGCGAAAGTGTATTTGTAGCCTATAAATTTTTTTAATTTTTGTTAATTGTGAATTTTACCATGATATATTTCCATAGTTATTGAAACAGTGGATTAGCCCAAAATATATTGATTTGAGACTAAGCATATTGACGTATGGTCGAACAAAAATTTTATGTCACCACTGGCACTTTATGGTTTTTAAGGGTCAAATTAAAATTTTTTGACCCTTAAAAATCATGTCAATCTATATAATAACATCAGCCATGTTATTTTACAGATTGACATCATATAATAAAATGAGCGATGGGGAAAGATATTGTAAAATATAGCTGTTGCTATACACCTAATATTAAATAACCGTTTTTAATATGTTTTTTTGAACGTCTATACGCCAATTTAACATAGTTTTAGTAAAATTTAGTTTATATGACCATACTAAGCAATAAATTTGTTGAATACTGTTCGTGATTAAGACGAATTAAGTACTGTTAGATCATATACTGTTGAAGCTAATTTCTGATATGAACATAAAGTTTTCGATGAATTCTTAGCACTGCTTATAGTCTTAAATAACACTTCTGTTCACACTATCACAACCTGATATAGATTACTATTTGAAGAAGTTTATAGAAGGTAGGGAGTACAAGGATAGATCTGAAGCTATTTATTAAATATTATTGGCTGGTTTTGAATATTTGTCAGTTATACAAACATTCAACAAAACAGGTCAAGTTGTACCAATATTTAAATCCAATCAAGAATTAACAATAATAAGCAACAGACGTACCTAGTTACTCACTAGCTTCTATGGGTTTAAAAAAAAAAGATCTATAACAAATTGTAGAAATATTTAATTAGAAATAAAAACCTAAATAAAAAGGCAATACTTTTCCAAAAACATTACTCAACTAAAAACGTATATTGAGATTATTTTATAATAAACATAAACTCACAAATGCGAAACTCTAACTAAAATCCAAATGCATTAAATGTCTACCAAATTAAAACCTACTAAAATATTATATTTATGTTATACTGTTGAATATTTTTGGCAGATTGATTAAAGTCATAGACCCAGGAAAGGATAGGATAACCATGACTTTGGTCATGGTTTTCCTGGATCATGGGCTACCTATACACTAGGGTGAATCATATATTTTTAATTTTATTGTCAGTACTACAAAAGGTTGTCATAAAAATTTCATAAAAATGCCATATAAATTTAATAAAAAAACAATAAAAATTCGAGCTTCGTTCAACATCTTAAAGAGGGGAGGGAGGGGGACTTTTGTAAAAAAGGGGTGAGTTGTGTGAGGGCATATTGCAATATTAATATTACATATCCATACTTTGAATATGTTTTGATTGTTAATGTTTATGTACTGATTTGTAGGCTCTTTATATTTACGTTTACAAGAGAAAATGGAATGCTTTTTTTTATTTATTATAAATATGGATTTCGAATGATTTTTTTTCTTTCCTTTTTAGATTGTATAATGAGCTTGAAGAAATGCTTATATAAACCAAAGGTAACACGGAACACTCAGTACTTGGCCTACCTTGGGACTGTCCATTATTTACGTCAACAAATTTTTTGAAATTTTTACCTCCCCTCTCCCCCTTGTTAACAATTCGTCAAATTTCTAGAGTAACCTCACCCCCCTCACCCCAATAAAATACGTAAATTTTTGATTACCCCCCACCCCTATCCAAAGAAGCTACGCTGAAAATTTTCCGTTATTTAAGCAATTAAACTTGAAAAAAAAAATTGTTGACATCAACATTAATTGACCTCCTGTTGTCAAAAACAGTCAAAAAAGTTCAGACCCCCTCCCCCTATTTTGTTGACGTAATTAATGGACAACCCCCTTGTAAATTTCCAGAATATCAATTGCCGCCAAAAGCAGAAGTCTTTAAGTATTACCTATACATCAGACTTTCCTATAGCAATTAGACTCTGAAGAACCATCATTCAGGGACTTAAATAAGATAGTGGCTAATAATTTAGAAAACAGATGGTTGATGGCGGGGTCAAACGACTTCATATAGCAACGTTCTGAAAAGCTTAAATAAATTGGTTACTGATACAAAACGAATAAGAATATTTTTTGATGAAAAGAGAAATTCATATACGTTTTAATTTTAACTTAGTTCGTTTAATAAAGTATTTGACATTTGTTCTTGCAAATGTGTAATTGTGGTATCAGGGACCGGTCAAACTAGCATTGTTTCATCAAAGTTCTTTTATTTATTTATAAAGTATGAGCTGAATGGTAAAAAATACGGTAAAACATTTTTCTTTTCTGAAAATATTTTATTTTTTCCCTAAATGTTGACTATTTATGTTAGAAATGTGCATTATAACTTTTTTTAATATTGATTAATCATATTTTATTATGTGAATGTTTTTGTTTTTTAAAATATTATTTTTACCCAAAGAAATTAGAGAAAGTATGTCAACAATATTTGATGATTTTGATCAGAGCCGTCCTTAGATAATGCGAGGCCTGGAGCAAAATATTTTTGCGAGGCCTTTTTTGAAAGTCATTATTTTAGGCGCTTTGACGAAGAAAAGCTTTCCTGAAAAGAGGTAGTATAAGTGCAAAACATAAATTTAGGGTTGGTATAATTTTGAGTTGTTACTTTCGTGTATGTTTATAAAAAGGATTGAGTGCTTTATAAAATAATCTATAATAACAATATTATTATTATTTAAATATAAAAATTATTAATTATTTTACATTATTTAGCCTTTAATAACTTTAAGAATAAACTTTAGTTTATTAAAGGTTAAAAAATGTAAAATAAATAATAATTTTTGTCTGACAAGAAATAAATGAATTAAAATAACAATTAAATTTTTTCCTTTTTTTTGGTTATGAATTGAATAATCAGTTATAAATAGTATAACATATTTTTACAAAATAGTAATCTTATTCGCACAATATTATGTTTTCGGCAATCGATATGAAGGGTGCTCATAGGTAGGTAGATGTTATATAATGTGTTCACGCTGTAAAATAATAGACATTAATTTTATAATAGAATACTGGCAAATATTTATAAATAATAATACAGTGTTATCAAAACAATTGTCCAGGGTTAGATCATTTTTAAAATTGCTTTAAAAAGATGAAAACTTAGATGTCACAATTGATAGCCTTTCTTGACTCATAGACGAACTTAATTATTTCTTAATATGTTTCAAGCGTGAAAAACTTCTTCTGCGCTTGCCACAGTTACAGGTATAGTTAGGAAAATTCTATACGTTATAAATACATGCGGAAATGGGTTTTTAATCTGGTGAATAAATCTCAAAATTTTTGAAGTTGTTTCCACCTCACCCTGTAGAAGTTCTCAAAGAACCTTAAGTTCAGAAAAAAGATCATTTCCACAAACATTCTTTTCTTCTTCAAAACTTAGAAACGATTCTAGGTCTTTACACCTTTGAAACAATTTATCTTCTTTTATTACTTATAGTTTTTTACATGATAAAGAAATGCAAACATAGTATTGTAATTAGTTATTTGTTCAAAACTTCTGCAATAACAAAAAAATACTCCACTTTAAACATTTGCTTGGCGGATCCTTCCATAGGATCTCCCTCGTACTCAAACATTTTTCTTTTCTTTCTCTGCCTGGCTTCTTTGAAACTTGGCTCTACACCAAGAGTTTCACGAAATTTTCTTGCTAACAATGTTGCCGCCACAAAACCTAAATCTAAACTTCTGAAAAAAACTAAACTACCCAACTGGAAACTTTTGCATTGCGCCATTCCTTACAACAGGCAAAGTACTTCGCCAGTATTGGCTTACCAATAGTTGGCCGGCCAGTGCTGGCGAAGTACTGATTAAAATGTAAGACATTACTGCGCCAGTGCTGAAAAATAGCACTGGACTAATACCTTAATCCAGCGTTGGCACAATGCCGATTTCCGAGCCTCGCGAAAAGAATGTGCCAGAATTCAAGCACATGTTTCTTTTACGATAATTAATTATCGTAAACAGTATAATTCACCTTTACCATTCACTTTGAAAAATGCAGCAAATTCTTATTAAAAACTATTGTTAAATGTTCTGTTAAAAACAGGTCTGTATTACTGGGTTTTTTTTATCCTTGTCTTGGTAAATTTTGATTATCAGTCCGTATGTTGTTTAAAATTTCATAAATTATAAAACAAATTTTGCTATTATCACTTTTCTTTAATTTACTGTTACTAAAGCTTTAGTAACAGTAAATTAAAGAAAAGTGATAATAGCAAAATTTGTTTTATAATTTATAAAATTTTAAATAACATACAGAGACAAATTATTCTGTAAATACCCATCTGAAAACGAGTATCATGTACTAGAAAATATGAGTAAAATGTCATTTATACGAGGAGTTTTGTGGAAAGGTTTTGAAATTATTTTAATTAAAGAAGCAAGTATGTAATGAAACTTTTTATGTAATCAATTTTAAATGCATTATAACTTTAATATTGTCATATATAAAGTTATTTATTTACATTATAGAAAGCTATGAACAAGGATTGCGACGCATGATTAGTGCATGCTCTGAGTTTGTAGTTCAGAGCAGTAATTTTGAAGATTTGAACAGTTCAGAAGAAGAATCTGCTCCTGTTAAATTAAGCAGCTCTAAGATTAAAGCATCTTTAAAAAATATCTCTTCATTTAAAGGTATGACTTTAAGTTTATATAAGTTATTTTTTTTCAAAAACAAATTAAAACATAAAAAATCAAAAGATTTATTTAACATTATTACTGTTTTGCTGGCTTTTTTAATGATATCTATATCTGATCTCTTTTAGAGCATAATGAATCCATTGTTTCTTTTAAAGTAAAGAAAAGGAAACGTCATGCCGTGATGAACAATCTAATGATTCTTCGTCCTCATCTCCTAAAACAAAGAAAATATTGACCTCTAAATGTAACCCAGCAAAACAAAACCGTGTGTTTTCTTTAATCGAAAAAAAAATCATTATAATTAAAAATAACCATTAATGTGTTAAAGCAAATTTAATTATTCAATAAGTTTATTATTTTTAAAAATGATAAAGAACTCCAGTATATCACATGAAAACTCCAGGAAAAATTTAAGCGAAGATGAAATAAATAAAAAACGTAATGCAATATATTTCTTGGTTTACATATAAATGTTATTTTAATATTTTTTAATGAAACCACTTCTAGATATCTATATCTTGTCTGTTTTAGATCATAGTATTGAAAGCAGTGGAGATAGTGATATTTCAAAAGAGTCTTTTGCTTCCTTTGAAGTAAGGAAAAAGCGATCGTTGTGTTGTGATGAAGAATCTAATGATTCCTTGTCCTCATCTCCGAAAATAAAGAAAATATTGATCTCTAAATGTAAACCAGTGAAACTAAACCGTATGCTTTCTTTAATCAAAAAAAAAAATTATAATTAAAAATAACCCTTATTGTTAAACCACAAAAAAATGTGTTAAAGGAATTTTTATTATTCAAAAAGTTTATTATTTTCAGAAATGATAAAGAACTCCAGTATATCACATGAAAACTCTATGAAAAGTATAAACGAAGATAAAATGAATACAAAAAGTAATGCAATATGTTTCTTAGTTTTCTTTCTTACATGTAAATGTTATTTTAATATTTTTTAATGAAATCATTTCCAGAATTTTAATCATTGCTTTCTCAGTAAAATTCTGACAATATTTTTTTAGATGTGATGCTAAATCCAAATTATAAGTATTGTCCTACATGTGACTGTGCAGGTAAGGATATTGTCAGAAATGTTTTTACCTATAATTCTTAATTCATTGTAAATAATTAATTTAACTTTTCACTTTATTAAAAAAATGACATTATGGAAGCTTTATGTTTAAGCCACACCAGTGTCGAAAGGGAATTTATTATAACATTTATTCCTTTATAACATTAAAAAAAAATGACAATAATAATGTAATAATAATTAACAATTTATTCATTTAAAATGAATGGTGGTTTTTCTTTACTAATAAGAAAATTTATATTTTCATGACTAAAGCTAAAGGTCATGCATCGAAAGCTAATCTGGAATCTGCTAGGAGAAGTATCGAATATCGTATTAGAGAGGAAGCGAAAATCACAAGAACGTTGTTTAGTCTTTACAATTACACAGTTGATATTCAAAAAATAATGACCAAACAGACAATTAACGAATTACCAATCAACCATGTAGAAAGCTTCCTTGATTTTGATAATAAATTGAAGACTGATTTAGTAATGATGCAAAAACTGGTAAATAGTTTAATACTGATTCAAAAAATGCTAGAAATATTAGTGTTAAGTCTGCTACGAAATATTGTATTATTAAAAATTATTTTTGTTATAATTAATATTATATTTAATTATTTTGTATATAAATTTTATATATAGATTAAAATTTTCTTTCTTTTAGAAATGCTTTAACATGTTAAATGTGAAAAGTACATTAAAACTTTCGGAAAATTTTTCTTTTATAATTCCTAAGATTATTTTACCAAATATTCAAGTGCTCTACAGTGCTTTTGGGCGAGAATCAGAAGGTGTAAAAAAGTTAAATTTCTCTGGTACAGAAACTTACAAATATTTGCTAGGTATATTGTCTTATTTTTAACTTTAGCAAACACGAATAAAATATTATTTATATGTAATCTCTTTTATATTTAATATGTAATTACATATGTATGTAATTAAAATACATATGTAATTACATATGTAATATGTAATTTCATATGTAATATGTAGATTAATCTACATATTACATAATTTGTATGTAGTATGTAATTTCTTACTAAACCCCTAAATACACAGTTTAGATATTTATTTTAGAAGTAGTTACAATGAAATTTCCTGACATAAATGAAAAAGAAATTTCAAGTCAAATAAGTTGCTGGTTTTCAGGTGCAAAGGATAGAGATGGTGGAAAGAGATACCGATTATTAAAATAAAAAAAGTCGTGAAGAGCGAAAGGATATCGAAAATGAAGACGAAATTCTATAATTTTATCTATTTGTAATAATACAAAAAAAAAATTACTTAAAAAGTATAAATAATGTAATTTTTGTAATAAAAGATTGTCTTTTAAAGTTTATACTATAGTGTCAATTGTGTGTGTGTGTGTCTGTGTGTGTGTGTGTGTATTATGATTTTCAGACTCTGAAAACAGGTTTGGCGCGACAACGCCAAAACCTGATAGTGAGCTGATAGATATGATGCTAATAGAGCGCGACAGCGCTCAAAATTTCAAGAAAGTACTATTTTAATATCAGCTGCTAACATTGGTTAAGAACTATAGTTCTTACTGGAACAGTACTGCGCCTGTTGTGAATTTTTGATTAGGCAGTAATATGCCATTACCAGATGCCAGCAATGGTTAAGTACTGGACATCCAGTACTGGCAAAGTGTTATCATCCCAGATAAATGCCAGTGTCGAACCAGTACTGGCTGCCAGTATTGCGCCAGTATTAAACAGTACTGGCGCAGTACTGCGCCTGTTGTGAATTTTTGCTTGGGAAGCTCTTAAGCGAAAGCTCTTAAGCGTAAGCTCTTTAGCGTAAGGATTTAAAATCAAACTTACACTCCCCAATGATTTTTTTTTTTTACATTTTTAGAGAAAGGGATATTTTCTTCGATGTAAATAAATAAATTCTTTGCAAAAATTTTTGGAATGTTTCCTGAGATCAGGGTTGAGGCAGCATTGGACAATTTTCATGGGGCACGTTAGGATTTTATTTAGGAAGAGAACAGACGTGTTTTCAACTGTTGTAAAAGAAATCGATTGAAGATTAAAAAATAATAATAATAAATAAATAATAACATTAATTAAAGAAAGAAAGAAGAAAGGTTTTGCTGTTTTTTTATTATTTTTTTCAAAAACTTGCTTGTTGTTTGAAAGTAGTTTTTGCTGAAAGTTTGTTTGTTATTGAAAGTTGTTTTGCTGAAAGTTCTTTTTTTTTTGAAAATTGTTTTGTTGTTTTGTTTGTTTGAAAGTTGTTTGTTATTGATAAACTGAAAATTGCTGTAAATTTTTCTAACTGAAAGTTTTTTTTAAGTTGTTTTTGTTATATTGTTGTTAAAAGTTTTGTGTTGAAAGTTGAAAGTTTGCTTTGTTGACGATAGGTTGAAAGTTGTTTGAAAGTTATTTTGAAAGTTGTTGCAGTGTTGCAACCTATTTCTTAAAGTTTGAAACTTGAAAGGTTTGGAAATTAAAAGTTTGTCATTGTTTTTTTATTTATTTTTTTATTTTAAAGTTTTTTTTCTGTTTTTTTTTCTTTAAAAGTTGTATTAGTGAATAAATGCTTTTAAAGTTGTTGCCGGTTTTGAAAGGTGATTTGAATTTTGATTCGAAGGTGAGTCGTTCATGTTTTTAAATTGTGCGAAGATGGATTTATCAATGAAAAATATTGAGAGACTAATATTATCTAAGCTTGAAGATCAGAAACAAAACATTTTAAAAGAAACTGAAAAACTATTAAAAAAACAAGAACTTTTACAAAAATAATGAGTACTAACATAAAAATAATATCAGACAGACTAGATAAACTTGAAAAAGAACTTAGTTTTAATAAACCCTGAGTTGAATTATTAGAAAAAGATACAAGCTACATTAAAGATTGTATTAACTTTCAAGAGAAAAACATCAAGGAAATGCTTTCTCAACTAAATTCATCAATGATCAATGAAGAAATAAATACTTTAAAAAAAAAATAGAGATCTAGAAAATAAATCTCGCCGCAATAATTTAAGAGCTGATGGTGTTGCAGAATTACCGTCTGAAACGTGGAATGACTGTGCAAGAACAGTTAAAAAAATCTTTAAAAGCCATCTTGGAATTACCGATGATATAGTATATGGGCGAGCCCATCAAATAGAAACAATTAATGACAAGCTACCAAGAACTATAGTCTTTAAACTCCTAAATTATAATGATAAATGCAAAATTTTAACATCTGTGAAAAAACTGAAAGGCACCATGGCCTACTTAAATTACACGGCCTGATTTGTTGCATTTTCCGTAAAAAATTAAGAGGTCAGTTTTTTTTACGGCTTAAGTATAAAAACATAAATTTTGTTATGGTTAAGAGTCTTGTTTGCACTATAATTTTTTTATTTTTATTTTATTAAAATGGTTTAATATTAGTTAGATTTTGATTACATAAATTATTTTGTGCTAGATTTTCTGTTAACTGATTGCCTGCTTCAGTTTATTCCAATAAAAAAGAATACTGAAATAGGCTTTTAGATAGCTATATCAACAACATATTAACATGCTACTAAAAATAATCTTACATATTGCTAAAACTACCCACAACTCTCCATTGGAAATAATTTTAAAGGTTTGTAATTTTGTATTTATTATAATTGCAATTATTAAGTAGAAAACATAAACTTTTCTTTAATTTATTTACACTGCAAAACAAGGCTTTGCATTTATTATGCTGCATGTCTCAAACATACAACAATTAAAATGTAACAAATCAGGCTATTTATTTACAGTAGCCAAGAAATATCGGCGCTACTCGACTTTCTCCCCCCCCCCCCTGTTTTTATGATTGATTTTTATAGAGTATATTATACTGATTCTAAATCATATAAAAACATAGGTCTGAAAACTTGAGGAAAGTACTCTAATTTGATGTTAAAGTATAAAAATCCACATTAAAAACGCTAATATTAGCCATCTTTGTCATACTCGGTTATAATAAAATTCTTTTTCAATAAAAACTTTGAAAAACCCTGGTTTCTATCGACGCTTCAATTTAAAACGCATTTTTTATTGATTTCCTGCCCCAACCAAACCCTGACCAAAATCATGTACATTTAATTGCGCCAATTCCTATTTGTCTGTAGATATGTACATTTATTTACGCCAATTCCTATATGTCAGTCGATGTATGTTTATTTAATCGCGCCAATTCCTATTTGTCAGTCGATACATGTACATTTAGTTGCGCCAATTCCTGTTTGTCAGTCGATGCATGTACATTTAGTTGCGCCAATTCCTATTTGTCAGTCGATGTATGTACATCATAAAATATAAAAACAACAATAAAAACCGGGTCGTTAGTTAAAAAATTAATTACCTAAATTTTAAAAACAGTGTTAAAATGTTTTTAAAAAGATGGTGGAATATTAGCGTTTTTTAATGTGGATTTTTATACTTTAACATCAGTTTAGAGTACTTTCCTCAAGTTTTCAGACCTATGGTTTTATATAATTTAGAATCAGTATAATATACTCTATAAAAATCAATCATAAAAACAGGGGGGGGGGAGAAAGTCGAGTATCGCCGAAATATCAGACATACCAACTGTTTTGGAGTCAATAGCTGTTAATAAAATTCTAATTTTTTTCATTGCCAAATAAATGGTTATCATTCTTCTTTATTTAAATGGTTTCGCAGTGGTAAAAAATACAAATTGAAAAACTATAATATATTAGAAAAATCATTGACAAAAATTTGGTATTAAGAGATTATTTGCTTCTTGTGGGTAAGGTGTACTTTCAAAGAGCAGCCCAAAATGGTAAACATTTTGATGAAGATTGAGAAAACAATCTTTATAAAGAATTTTTTTTTGTTTTTAAGATTGGAGGGCTTCAAAAATTTATTCTTATGTTTTGAAATCATAACCTAAAGTTTACATAACAGGTTTATGTTTGAAAAAAGAAATTGATGAGTGTATTACCTCAATGCACCAATCTGAACTTAAAATAAGAACTATTGTTACCGATAACCATTTTACAAATGTTAATGCATTTTTATAGTTTCATAAAGCATATACTGGAGATGGAAAGTTATTAATTTATCATTTAGTTTAGAAAAGGTGTATTTAAAATATACTTGTTATTTGATAAACTCGGTTTTTGTTTTTTTCTTCTTGTTGAAGTTACTGCTGATTACATTGTAGGAAATATATTTTTTAAAGTTTATTAAAAGATCAATTATTAAACAGGCAAGAAAAAGCAATAAAAATTAATTATCAAATCACATATTTTGGTAACAGCAAACAAGTTGTCAACATCGACAATATTTGACAAAACAACTGCAGCTTCAACTGCTAATTTAGAGTTATTTTTCTGAAAGAAATAACGCAGCACAATTATCATTGTTTTTTAAGTTATTTATCATACTGAATTCAAAGCAGAAACTTAATTCATCTAATCAAACTCAGCAATGCTGCTTTGAAAGGTGATAACAAACCCACACTTTATAGAGAAATTGCAAATTGTACTGAAATTTGATCAAAATAAAATTTGATAAATACCTGACATTAACCAAACAAACTTCTTGTGCTCTAATTACAACACTACACGCATTTGTATTTCTTATGCATGATTTCCTTGAAGAAGGCTTTACATTTGTTTATAGTTAATTTACAAAAAGATTCTTTGGAGCTAGGTTTTATTAAGTATAGTTAAATGCCTAATAGTAGACTTTTTGTGAGCCTTTTAGAAATGGGCATAAGTAAAAAGATTTTGGCAGATTTTTCCAGAAAATATTTACCAGAATTTTGATAATCCTTTAAAAATATTATGCAAGATATTGCTTAGTTGTCTACATAAATACTACTGTCAGCTTTCTGAAGATAGCACAAATATATATACTAAAGCAAGTAATAATGGTAAAAATTAACAAAAAGATTTTGATGTTAAACTTATATCAATAAACATTACTTTATAAAGAGAAGAACCTATATATTCAATTCAACCTCTGTCTAATTTTTTATCATCTTTTTAGTATTTTATGTTATTTCTCTTATTCTAATAAAACATTGCAGTCATTCTTTTTTAATTAAAAATTTGCAAAACAAATTTTAAAGATTTGATCTAGCTGTTTCAATTTTACAAATAAAAACCACCAAAAATGGGAATCAAATATAGATCTCGTATTGTATTGCAAATTAATATAAAAAATATTATTACATTCTTTATAGTAATTTGCAAAAATAAAATTGCATATTCATTTAAAAAAGGTCAAGTAATAGAATTCCAAAAAAGACAAAGTAAACATTTCTAGCAAAAATGTATTTCTTCTTTTTATTTCAATTA